GTTCTGAAATAAGCATTTTAAAATGATTTCAAAATAAGTCTGGCACTTTGGAGAAAATCCAGGACTCGCTGGAGGGATTATGGTCTGGGAACGTCTCGGAGTCCTCCAGGACGAGCTGGAAAGTGTCGCTGCGGAATGCCACAAATTCTCCTAAATCACTCGTACGCACAACTTAAGAACAAATCTGTGCGTACGAACGGTTCTTGCATGAGGCCCATTGTCTGGGTAAGTCAAAGCTATGTTAATTCAGGTTCCAACCGAAGTTCTGCAAGATGAAAGATTCACATAAAGTGGGTTTTTTTCTTCCTCTTTGAGCCGTTGTCAGGAACAAGTGAAATCAAATCAGAAATGATGAGATCTATGCAGGAAAATGCTACATGTCTTACTGTGACAGCCAATCAACATTCAGCAAAACTTTGTTCAACCAATTACAGCTCAGCTGTTGTACACTCTCATGTGTAATTATTTTATATTAATTTAGCATTTTCTTAAAACCCATAAGAAACATCTGATTTATTTTTGATCAAACCTTCCCCTCTGTCTCTACAGATCCAGCTGTGGGACACAGCAGGCCAGGAGCGCTTCAGAAAGTCCATGGTGCAGCACTATTACCGTAATGTGCACGCTGTCATGTTTGTCTACGACGTGACCAACGCTGCCAGTTTCCACAGCCTTCCCGGTTGGATCGAGGAATGTAAGCAACATGCTCTCGGCACAGAAGTACCCAGGATCCTTGTTGGGAATAAGTGTGACCTCCAGGACTCCATTCAGACAGGCACAGACGTGGCCCAGCAGTTTGCGGATGCCCACTCAATGCCGCTGTTTGAGACTTCTGCAAAAAACCCTAATGGCCAAGGAGATGGAAGCTGCCACAACAGTGACCATGTGGAGGCTATCCTTATGACTGTGGCTCACAAGCTGAAATCACAGAAGCCTCTGGTGCTCAGTCAGCTTCCTGAGGAGTCAGGGGCCGCTGTCACCCTGAGTGAGGGGAGGAATGATGGAGGAGATGGAACTAAAAGCTGGAGCTGCAGCAGCTGCTGAGAGGGAAGGAGCACTGGGAAAGTTTAAATGAAAGACAGAACCCAGGGGGAAAAAAACAAGAATAAATGACACCAGTGAAGATACTTCTTCAGTAGTATCTTCTAACAATAGTCCTTTTTTTTGACTATTTGCAGTTTTTGTTGTGCCAAAATATCAGCATCCAGCTGTTGCTTGGCTCATGGAAATGATCCTGTGAAAATTCGATCTTAAAACAGGAATAAAGACTAAAACAACAGGAAACGCTGCTCGTTTACACATTTAGACAAACTTCTTATTAGCAAGAATCTCACCTAAGGTCCAGGTTTTTCTTTTTGTTGTACAAAATGTTCCCTAAAAATTGTTTTAATGCCACAATTTGAAAACGATTGCATCGTAAACAGATAACTTTTAAAAATTTAGAAATAAAAAAATGGGAGGTGGGTGGGGTAGGTCTTGAGCAGTTGAAAGATCCCATACATATGGAGAGCCCTTTCATTTGAAGTGAAATAAAAGTGAGTTTGTTTACCTGCAGAAACAGCTGAAATTAGTTTGTTTCTGCAGCTGTTTCTGTAAGTAAACAAACTCACTGCAGCTGTTTCTGTAAGTAAACAAACACACTTCAGCTGTTTGTGTAGGTAAACAAACACACTTCAGCTGTTTGTGTAGGTAAACAAACACACTTCAGCTGTTTGTGTAGGTAAACAAACTCACTTCAGCTGTTTGTGTAGGTAAACAAACTCACTTCAGCTGTTTGTGTAGGTAAACAAACTCACTTCAGCTGTTTGTGTAGGTAAACAAACTCACTTCAGCTGTTTGTGTAGGTAAACAAACACACTTCAGCTGTTTGTGTAGGTAAACAAACACACTTCAGCTGTTTGTGTAGGTAAACAAACACACTTCAGCTGTTTGTGTAGGTAAACAAACACACTTCAGCTGTTTGT